TCAGCAGAAAAGGCCTAAACCAGGACTGAACAATACCAACCCACCCAGGCGGTTCCTCTGCCAGCATGCTACCAAAATTATGTTTCAAAAACATCAGAGAAAAGAAAACCACCGGGTTGACCATACCTAGGCCACCCATCCGCCTGGAAAGGTAGGTTACAGACCTCTTAATGAGGTTCAGTTTGTGCCCCCATAACAGCTGGAAGAAACAACTGTAGATCTTCGCATAGAGAGACACTGGAACACAGACAAAGCTGACATACAGAAATACCGGGATCAGGTAAGTTTTCATCAGGTCAATCCTTTCCCTGTAAGAGAGTTTCCAATCCTTCCAGCTGGCCACCTTGGCATCGGCATCTTGTAGCCTGCTTACCCAATGTGCCGTAATCACCGGGACCAAATCTTATGCCTAAAACTTTAATTTCCTGCTGCGGCTCTGGGAAGCTGTTCAGTAGCTCAAAGCCTTCGCCTTCCTCTCCCATCCTGAAGACTTCACTGTTATCCTGATTGATCTTTGAGCCAGATGCCTCAGCATACTGTTCCATCATCACCGAGACCACCTCCGCCGCCTCCTGCCTCAGCATACTGTTCCATCACCGAGACCACCTCCTCCACCTCCTGCCTCAGCGTACTGTTCCATCACCGAGACCACTTCCTCCGCCTCCTGTCTCAGCATACTGTTCCATCACCGAGACCACCTCCTCCACCTCCTGCCTCAGCATACTGTTCCATCACCGAGACCACCTCCTCCACCTCCTGCCTCAGCATACTGTTCCATCACCGAAACCACCTCCTCTGCAGCATACTGTTCCATCACCGAGACCACCTCCTCCGCCTCCTGCCTCAGAATACTGTTCCATCACCGAGACCACCTCCTCCACCTCCTGTCTCAGCATACTGTTCCATCACCAAGACCACCTCCTCCGCCTCCTGCCTAAGCATACTGTTCCATCACCAAGACCACCTCCTCCGCCTCCTGCCTCAGCATACTGTTCCATCACCGAGACCACCTCCTCCTCCACCTCCTGCCTCAGCATACTGTTCCATCACCGAAACCACCTCCTCCGCCTCCTGCCTCAGCATACTGTTCCATCACCGAAACCACCTCCTCCGCCTCCTGTCTCAGCATACTGTTCCATCACCAAAACCACCTCCTCCGCCTCCTGCCTCAGCATACTGTTCCATCACCGAGACCACCTCCTCCCCCTCCTGCCTCAGCATACTGTTCCATCACCGAGACCACCTCCTCCGCAGCATACTGTTCCATCACCGAGACCACCTCCTCCTCTGCCTCCTGCCTCAGCGTACTGTTCCATCACCGAGACCACCTCCTCCGCCTCCTGTGTCCCAGAGATGAAAACAGATACGTCATCAGCATAGGCCACAACCCTCAGAGGGGGCTCCCAGGAATGCCCAAAGGAACTCCACACAACGGTCCGCTCTCTAACCTCCGAATGAAGGGATCGATTGTGAACGTGTATAGCAGAAGACTCAAAGGACACCCCTGATGCAAATCTGAGCCAACCCCAAAGGGCCGTCCAATCCAACCATTTACAAGCATGAAGCTTTCAGCCCCTCTGTATAAAGTCTTTAGCCAATCGATAAAGCCCCCCTCCAGGCCATACTTGCCAAGAAGCAGCCATAGGTACTCATGATTGACTCGATCAAAAGCTTTGGCCTGATCCAATGCCAGCAGGAACTTTCCCCAGCCTGCAGCCCTGCACCGCTCCAGGGCCTCCCGGACAGCTAACACCGCTGAAAAAGTGCTTCTTCTCTGAACAGTGCTGATGGCGGAAAAGTAAATTGCCCGCAACAGACGATAAACGCCAGAAAATTATCTTTGCCAGTATCTTCCTATCAACATTGAGAAGGCTAATGGGCCCCCAGTTCTCAATTCTGGAAGAATCTGTACCCTTTGACAGAAGAATCACTGCAGATTGTCGCATGGAGGGAGAGAGTGAACCCTCTCTCAGACAGCCATTAAACACCTCCACCAAATATGGGGCCAGAGTGACCTTAAAGTGCTTTATAAAACTCGGCTGTCAATCCGTCTGGCCCAGGCGACTTCTTCATGGCAAGCTGATCAATAGCTTTCACCACCTCATCTGCCGTGATGTCCTCTGTCAGACTCACAAGAGAACTGCCATTTCCCAGTCCTGGAGTAGAGTCCAGAAAACCCAACATGCTCGCCTGATCGAGGTCCCTCCTACCCAGGACTCACAAGAGAACTGCCATTTCCCAGTCCTGGAGTAGAGTCCAGAAAACCCAACATGCTCGCCCGATCGAGGTCCCTCCTACCCAGGAGGTCAGCATAATATGACCTGGAGGTTTCCAGGATCCCCGACTTGGACTTTGTCAGGGAACCCGTACTGTCAACCAGGAATACAACTGACTTCACTGCTCTACCTTGTTTGCAGTTCTGGTAAGGGTCGGGCGAGTGATATTTCCCATAATCCCTTTCCAGAACCAAAGAGGCATGCCTGTCATATCGACACTGCCTGAGGAGGAGTGTAACCTCAGAGATCGCTTCTGGATCTCCATTATTGGAGACAAGCCGATCGAGCTTCCCCCGCAGACGCTGGTAGGTGACATACTTATCAAGCTGTTTATTTCTTCCTATGGCCTTGAAAAACCCAACGATCGTTCGTTTTGTAAGCTCCCACCACTCGGACTTACTGCTGCAAACGTCCATGATTGATACCTGTGCCTGAAAAAAATCCTCAAAGGATTGACTCACCTTCTCATCGTCCAGGAGTGCCGAATTCAGCTTCCAGGTACCCCTCCCCTTAGGTGGTGTATCGGGGCCACTCAGAGTCACAGACAGAATACAGTGATCGGAAAACTCCACCAACGTGTGTCAGGACACACTGGTGCTGAGAAGGCGGAGTTCCCCTATCTATTCTACTCTGACTAGCACCTCGCTGGGCAGCAATGAATGTGCACATCAACCAGACCTGCCTCTCTACCCGTCACAGTCCAGCCTGACTCCGGGACCTTTCCTGTCCTTAGTCCTAGTGACGGTGTTAAAGTCACCACTGAAGACAACTTGCTGGGCTGTAAAAAGGAAAGGCTTGATCTTCATGAAGAGGCATTTCCTGTCCCATTTTGTCTGGGGCCCATAGATGTTAATCAGGTGCAGGTCCTGCCCCCTCCATGGAGACGTCTAAGACCATGCATCTCCCCATTTCTACCTCAATAATCCGCCGACAGGTTACCATGCCGGAAAAAAGAACCACAACTCCAGTGTAAGGCTCGGCCGTAAAGAAGACATTAGAGTGCAAGCTCCTCTGGTGCACAGTGGTTTATGTAGGTTTTGTGCTGCCCTAGGTAACACAAACATTGGCCACCGCCACCAGGGGCGGACTGACAACTCATGGGGCCCCTGGGCAATAGGGGATCATGGAGCCCCTGTGTCCTTGACCAAACTCAAAAAAGCCTATGAAAAAGGTACCAGGGGCATCTCATGGGTACCCCTACTTACCCCGGCCCTCGGGCACTGCCCGAGTTTCCAAATAGTCAGTCCGCCCCTGACCCCCACACTCCCCCGTGGAGAGAGCCTGACACCGACCAATGCCACCCTCGAAACCCCTGTGGAGGAGAGAGCCTTGGACGTTGACCAACAACACACCTGCCCCCCACCCAAGAGAGCCTTCCACTACCACTGCCCCCCCATACACCACCTTCCCCACCCGGCGAGAGAGAGACACTCACCTTCACAGCTCCAGGACACCCTCAGGAATGAGAGTCGGGCTCTGCATATACCAGCCTGCAGGCTCTATCAGATCCCACCTGATCCCCATGCTGGGTGTGTCCCTTCTTCAGTCCCTTCTTCCAGGGGGCGGCGTTGCCCCCCTAAAAATGCTGCCCTAGACAAATGCCTTGTTTGCCTTGTGGTAAATACGCCCCCTCTGGTGGTGCAGCAACTGATGTAAGTGCAATGAGTCTGGGTTAGGTTGGGTCATGCCTCTCCATCGCTCCTGGTATAGGCCAGTAAACAGGGACGCACACACAAGATCAATCACTTCCTATTCTAATCAGCGTGACTGCATTTAGATGAGATATTTTTGCTAAATAAAAAAAATAAGTTCCCGAGAGGCATTAACTTAGCAAATGATTTCCGTTTTACGCTAAAAACAGCGAACAGAACATGGAACATTTGTACAAAGCGCTTCCACGTACGCCACGGGGGATGAATGATTCATTTCATAATTTAAGAGCAAATCGATAGGAGATGCGAGAATTAAGAGAACTGGCAATGTATGGAGGCGGGAAGGGAGGACGCTTCTCATTCCTCTGCAGAAGGGATGACTTTCCTCGATTTTATAGAAGTATTCACCTTCACTTGGATTACCAACGTTTTGCAGCGTAAAAACCACGATTATAACAGGTTCGATCTAAAGCCGGCCAGGAGCCTTATCTTGACAAAAAATGGCAGTTATTGTCAGCTCAGTATAATGACATGAGTCACGTGACTGAAAATAAAGACCTGTATTGGTCAGCACTGTGGCGGGAACGCGGAGGAACGCAGTTCCTGCACCTCCAGTACTGAATGTACCCACATGGAATAGAAATATATTTTAAATACTACAATTTGGGCCGTTTTAAAAAAATAATAATAAATGAATTATATATATACAGTATTTTTCGCTCCATAAGACGCACCTAGGTTTTAGAGGCAGAAAACAGGAAAAAAAATTCTGAACTAATGGACTGCAGACACAGTACAGGAGATGACCAGAGACTGCGGACACAGTACAGGAGATGACCAGAGACTGCGGACACAGTACAGGGGATGACCAGAGACTGCGGACACGGTACAGGAGACGGTCAGAGACTGCGGACACAGTACAGGAGATGACCAGAGACTGCGGACATAGTACAGGAGATGACCAGAGACTGCGGACAGTACAGGAGATGACCAGAGACTGCAGACACAGTACAGGAGATGACCAGAGACTGCGGACACAGTACAGGAGATGACCAGAGACTGCGGACACAGTACAGGAGATGACCAGAGACTGCGGACACAGTACAGGAGAGGACCAGAGACTGCAGACACAGTACAGGAGATGACCAGAGACTGCAGACATAGTACAGGAGATGACCAGAGACTGCGGACACAGTACAGGAGACGACCAGAGACTGCGGACACAGTACAGGAGATGGCCAGAGACTGCGGACACAGTACAGGAGATGAGCAGAGACTGCGGACACAGTACAGGAGATGACCAGAGACTGCGGACAGTACAGGGGATGACCAGAGACTGCGGACATAGTACAGGAGATGACCAGAGACTGCGGACACAGTACAGGAGATGACCAGAGACTGCAGACACAGTACAGGAGATGACCAGAGACTGCAGACACAGTACAGGAGATGAGCAGAGACTGCGGACACAGTACAGGAGATGACCAGAGACTGCGGACACAGTACAGGAGAGGACCAGAGACTGCGGACACAGTACAGGGGATGACCAGAGACTGCGGACACAGTACAGGAGATGACCAGAGACTGCGGACACAGTACAGGAGATGACCAGAGACTGCGGACACAGTACAGGGGATGACCAGAGACTGCGGACACAGTACAGGAGATGATCAGAGACTGCGGACACAGTACAGGAGATGACCAGAGACTGCGGACATAGTACAGGAGATGACCAGAGACTGCGGACATAGTACAGGAGATGACCAGAGACTGCGGACACAGTACAGGAGATGACCAGAGACTGCAGACACAGTACAGGAGATGACCAGAGACTGCGGACACAGTACAGGAGATGACCAGAGACTGCGGACACAGTACAGGAGATGACCAGAGACTGCGGACATAGTACAGGAGATGACCAGAGACTGCAGACATAGTACAGGAGATAATCAGAGACTGCAGACATAGTACAGGGGATGATCAGAGACTGCGGACATAGTACAGGAGATAATCAGAGACTGCAGACATAGTACAGGGGATGACCAGAGACTGCGGACACGGTACAGGAGATGACCAGAGACTGCGGACATAGTACAGGAGATGACCAGAGACTGCGGACATAGTACAGGAGATGACCAGAGACTGCGGACACAGTACAGGAGATGATCAGAGACTGCGGACACAGTACAGGAGATGACCAGAGACTGCGGACACAGTACAGGAGATGACCAGAGACTGCGGACATAGTACAGGAGATGACCAGAGACTGCGGACACAGTACAGGAGAGGACCAGAGACTGCAGACATAGTACAGGAGATGACCAGAGACTGCGGACATAGTACAGGAGATGACCAGAGACTGCGGACATAGTACAGGAGATGACCAGAGACTGCGGACACAGTACAGGAGATGACCAGAGACTGCGGACACAGTACAGGAGATGACCAGAGACTGCGGACATAGTACAGGAGATGACCAGAGACTGCGGACACAGTACAGGAGATGACCAGAGACTGCGGACACAGTACAGGAGATGACTGCTGACCTTTGGGGAGGTGGGGAGCGGGTACCTGAATTTGACAGGTACCCGCTCTTACTTCCGCGGAGTTGTTCTTTGACCTTACCTGTTCCTCTATCCAGCGGCGCGCTGTCTTCCCGGCTTCTGTAGTGTGGGCGCTCGGCTTGACAGCCGGGTGCAGAGTGCGCATGAGCGAGAAGCGCTGCGCTTTGTGATTGGTCCGGTGGCTTCTCGGATCTGTCATGTGTCCCAGGTACCGCCTTACCATTCACAAAGCGCACCACTTCTTGCGCATGCAAACTTGGCACCCGACTGTCATGCCCACACTACAGAAGCCGGGAAGACAGAGCGCCGCTGGATAGAGGAACAGGAAGGTCCCAGTACAGAGCTGAGCGGCCGGTATTCTGAAACCGCGGCGGTGGAAATACCGGATCGGCCGCTCCCTATTCGCTCCATAAGACGCACTGACATTTTCCCCCCTTTTTTGGGGGGAAAAAAGTGCGTCTTATGGAGCGAAAAATACGGTATATATATATATATACTGTATGTTGAAATTACTAAAAAATTTTATTTTGTATTTTAAATATATTCTTCAGATTTTTTTTTAAACATATAAAAAAGTCATTTTAAGATATATTTTTACATATATTTGTAAATGCATTCCAAAATTGTAGATTTAATGTACTTTTAAAGACATTCAGTATATTTGAAAATGTATTTTTAAAAATATTTTTCTTATATTTTGTAAAATATAAAAATGCAAAAAAAATGCATTTCAACATACAGTATATATATACATACTAAATGCTGAAATACATTTTTTATATATTTCAAAATATATGAAAAACATTTTTTAAAATATTTGTATTTTCAATATATTCTTCAGATTTTTTTTTTATAACTGAAAATTTATTTGTAAAAATATTTTTCATATATTTTGTAAATTATAAAAAACGCATTTCAAAATACAGTGTATATATATTTATTTATATATCTACACAAGTGTTCCTCGGTTTACAAACGCCTCGGTTAACATAATTTTCAGTTTACAGAACACTCAGGGCCCGCGGGCCACTTCTGGCCCTTCAGGCAATTTCATGGTATCCTTGCACTCCTCCTGCAGCTGGGGCACCCCCCTTGTCTCCACCCCCACCTTATCTCAGCAGTCAGCAGCAGTGAGGAGGACAGAACTCCTCCTACAGATCCTGCGCTTCTCTGTGCAGCCATTAAGAGACTAATCTCTGCTTCCTCCCCTTCTCAGCAATCTGCAGCAGAGAGAACAGAACTCCTCCTACAGATCCTGAGCTTTTCTGTGCGGCCATGGAGAAACTCATCTCTGCTCTACCCCCTCCCCCCATCTTGGCAGTCAGCAGCAAAGAGGAGGACAGAACTCCTACAGATCCTGCGCTTCTCTGTGCAGCCACGGAGAGACTCATCTTTGCATAACCCCCTCCTCCCCACCACCACCACCTAATCTCAGCAGTTGGCAGCAAAGAGGAGAACAGAACTCCTCCTACTGATCCTGCGCTTCTCTGTGCAGCCATGGAGAGACTCACCTCTGCTCCCCCCCATCTCAGCAGTCAGCAGCAGAGATGAGGACAGAACTCCTCCTACGGATCCTGCGCTTCTCTATGGCAGCCATGGAGTGACTCACCTTTGCTTTTCCTACACTCCGTCTCAGCAGTCAGCAGCAGAGAGGACAGAACTACTCCTACAGACCCTGCACTTCTCTGTGCAGCCATGGAGAGACTTATCTCTGCGCAACCCCCTCCCCCCCCCACCACCACCTAATCTCAGCAGCTGGCAGCAAAGAGGAGGACAAAACTTTTCCTACAGATCCTGTACTTCTCTGTGCAGCTATGGAGAGACTCATCTTTGCTCCCCCCCATCTCAGCAGTCAGCAGAGATGAGGACAGAACTCCTCCTACAGATCCTGTACTTCTCTGTGCAGCCGCAGCACCCCCTTGTCTCTGCCTCCCCTGGTCTCAGCATTCAGCAGACACTGGTAGCTGATTCCAGCCCTCCTCAGGTCCTCCTCCAGACCCTGCACTTTCTGCTTCTCAGCTCCACCCCCCAACTTCTCTCTGGCAGCATCACAAGGTAAGGGGGTGCACTGTGATGTAAAGGAAGGTGGGGGGGGCTCATTGACTTGTGATGGTGGGGAGACTCTTGACATCAGATGTAAGGGGTGAGGTGGGGTGCTCTGGACCAGGGGTTGACTGACAACTCATGGGGCCCCCGGATAATAGGGGATCATGGGGCCCCTGTGTCCTCGCCCACACTCAAACTACTCCCAAAAAAACTTATGAAAGGTTCCAGGGGCACCTAATGGGGCCCCCTACTGATCCTGGGCCCTCTTTCCCCTCCTTCCAGTACGTTCACTTTCCCCCCCTTCCAGTCCGGACGCTTTTCCCCCCCTTCCAGTCCGGACGCTTTCCCCCCCTTCCAGTCCGGATGCTTCCCCCCCTTCCAGTCCGGACACTTTCCCCCCCTTCCAGTCCGGACACTTTCCCCCCCTTCCAGTCCGGACACTTTCCCCCCTTCTCCCCCCCTCCAGTCCGGACACTTTCCCCCCTTCCAGTCCGGACACTTTCCGGACCCCCCCTTCCAGTCCGGACACTTTCCCCCCCCCTTCCAGTCCGGACACTTTCCCCCCCTTCCAGTCCGGACACTTCCCCCCCCCCTTCCAGTCCGGACACTTTCCCCCCCCCCTTCCAGTCCGGACACTTTCCCCCCCCCCCTTCCAGTCCGGACATTTTCTCCCCCTTCCAGTCCGGACACTTCCCCCCCTTCCAGTCCGGACACTTTCCCCCCTCCAGTCCGGACACTTCCCCCCCCCCCCCCACCCCCCTTCCAGTCAGGACACTTCCCCCCCCCCCCCCTTCCAGTCCGGACACTTTCTCCCCCTTCCAGTCCGGACACTTTCAGGCCAATTTTCATCTTTCAGAGCTATCACACTTGGAATGACAATTGCGCGGTCATGCAACACTGTACCCATATGAATTTTTTGCATTTTTTGAGACAGATAAAGCTTTATTTTGGCGGTACATTATTTTTTTTGCTATATAAATGAAAAAGTTCAAAAATTTTGAAAAAAAAAGCATTTTTCTTAAAACATTTTTCAAATAAATAATGTTTCATCATAAATCTTGGCCAAAATGTATTCATCTATCTTTTTAGTAAAAAAAAAAATAATAACTCAAATTAGTTTATAACCAAATATTATAATTTTTTTAATTAATTTTTGACTTTCTTATTTTATTTTTTTATATTATTATTATTATTTTTTTTTTTTTTACATCCTGTCACCCTAACAGTAGTGTTACCATGGTGACACTGCACTACTTGTGGGGGGTGATGAAGATTTTTTTTTTTACACTGATTGCTTTTATACCCATAAAGGCTGTAAGAGGAATCATTTCTCCTTCTCTCTGGCTGCATTCCTGCAGCCATTGAGAAATACTGTGAGAGCTGTGATTGGTCACAGCTTGTCACATGGCTGTTGTGAATAGCCCTGTACCTTGTGACCTCTGTGATTATTCACTGATTTCACACGTAGTAAGCAATGATGTCAGAAGTGAGAGTTTACTACTGTTCATGTGATCACTGATTGGCCAATCAGTGATCACATGAATCGGGACCTCACACAGAGGTCCCGTCCGACGATCGGCACCAGATTGTAGTGCCATGCGCTCCCAGGGAGCGGGAGGACATTTATAAATGGCCACGTGCTTCTGCACTGCTCTGGTCCGTCCCTTGTACATATATGGCCGGACGGGAGCAGTGCAGCAGCGAGTGGCCATTTATAATTTAAATATTATAGTTTAATTGTTTTTTGTTTGTTTTTTTGGATTGGTTAAGACAGTTGCCTTGATTTATATAACGCAATACTTGCGCTTATAACACTCAAAAATCATAAATGTCATACAGCAAAATAAAAGCAGCTTTGCACATAAAAAGGCGATATTGCAAATACAACAAAAAATGCAGCGCTAATTAAAAAAAAACATATAAATGTCAAAATAAAAGTCTGTATGAGTCCTCAAATAAATGAAGTCGGATGCATGAGAAGATTTGGATCTCGTAAACCGTCACCATACACCCGAAAAACTGGCCTCTTACCATGCAATCTGACCGCATAACACCAGTCAGTGAGCGCAGCGTGATAAGTAATCAGGATGGAGGAGCGGAGAGGACGACAGTGCGGGGAGCGGAGAGGACGACAGTGCGGAGAGCGGAGAGGACCACAGTGCGAGGAGCGGAGAGGACCACAGTGCGAGGAGCGGAGAGG